CAACAAGAGTCCAAGTTTACAGACCTAGAATTGCGGTGGCCCATCCCAGGACATTGAACATTCTAATTGCTCATTAGAAGTGTGACTGTGGGGTGGGGGGGAGTTACCCTTCAGACTCCCAGAGAAGATTCCCAGTGCTCCTTCTCCCACCCCTTCACTGCTACCCTTGCCGGAAACCACCTTCCATTAAAAGCCCCATCCCATTTGACCCCACCTAAGCCAGAGACTTCCACTGATTGAAGGGAGTCCTGAGGAGCTAAAGCTCTGATGTCCAACCTCCCATCTGGGTCGACCACTGAGAGGCTGATCGCACTACCTAAGCCAAATAAAGAGAGAACAAGAAAAGTGCCTGTGCCCTGTGCCCTGTGCCCTGTGCCCTTACTGGCAGCCCAGCTAAGGACCCTCGGGTACCACTCACCCTCTCCAGGGTATGAACACAAAGGGAGGCATAATCTCCTGCACAATGACACACGTCTAATGAAATCGGCTCCTGGCGCTGTGGGACTCAGCTTCCACATCTCCCTACTTCATAGAGAAGGAAATAAGCATCTTGAGCACTTTTTAATAAACTCCCTCTGGGCCTCGGTTTCTGCATCGATAAATTTTTAACGTCTGCCCCACTATCACTCTAACTTGTAATGTTTTTATAAAGATGGATGATCTGACTATAAAGGAAGACCTGAGTCATGATTCCATATGCCAAAAAAAATCAAAACCAAGAAGAGTCTTTAAAAGTTATTCATCAAAGGCACCTATTAATTTACTCAATCTAAATTAGCATCAAATGAGTAGGGGAAATGGCAGACAATAAACCATCATTCGTGAGGAGAGTGAGAGAGCACCAAACCTTACATAGTACCGTATACATAGGTGCATAATAAATGCTGGCTTGACCTGATTTTTCCACAAAATTTCTCTAATTGTTTCACAAGAATCTTTTCTGACATCCAAGTGTCTATCTTTCTCGGTCCCCTGAGCAGTCCAGTCAGGCCATAGGTCACCTGGTAGCAAGGCTGCCATGAGTGAGGGACCTGCTCTGTCCAACGCAGGTAACTGGTTGACTGGACTCTTCATCCACAACCTGTTCCTGACTCCCTTCCACTGCCTCCCTCAGTCTTTCTCCTTCCCTCCCCTAACAAAACCTTATCTCTGTTTTCTTCTTGAACACCCCAAGACCCTCAGGTAAAAATGTAACATTTTACTTATAATTTAATTTTCTTAATGTTTTAACCCTTATTTGATATTCCTATTATCCCTATTTTATGTGAGGCTCAGCTCATGAAGTTACTTATAAGAAGAAGAAAAAAGATGAGATGATGAAGAAGAAGAAGAAGAAGAAGAATATTGATGACATAGAAGAAGGAAAAGAGGTAGAGGGAAGAGGAGAAGAAACAGAAAAACAAATACCTGTCTCTAGAATACTTCTCTTTATTAACAGAGATATCACACCAGTTTAGTTCAAAACTACGAAACTAAGAGCTTAACAGCAGACATAATGTGTCCATAGGGCCGACATAAATCCTGTCTCCCAGCACCCACGTTGTAAAGTGGTTGTACTATATTTGGACTTCGATGTGTTTGGATACTTATATTTGAATGTAAGTATGACTGATGGTCTAGGAATTCACAACCCTTCAGAACACTGAACCAAATAACTTGTCTAATGGAGCAGTTCTCCCGCTCTGGCCTGCCTGATGTCTGGAATACATCTCCGGCTGGGAATGGCGGAGATAGGGGATTGTCCCCTCTCCCTTCCGCTCCGAGGGGCTGAATAAATAGACTCTGTGATAACTTCAACACAAAAGCCACTTGAGAAAGTGGGAAAGTCACAAGGACTTAAAACCAGACTTTGATAGTAGAGTATTGGATCTACAATCAAAACTTGACTGCATTCCTAATCCAGTTTTGTTCTATTAACAATGTGGCTGTTCCATTTATGACAAAATTAATAGCATTCGGCTCATTACAACTCTAATTCTATTGGCAACTGTACATCTTTTTTATTTATTAATTATACTCCCTGATTCTAAAAACAACTTTTGAGGTAAATTATACCAACAGACATGCAAAAAATTGGCTATTAATAGAAATTAAAAACAAAATCCCATATAGAAGGAGGCAAAACATATCAGGTACCTAAGATAATAAATTAAAGTGTGCATTAAATTTGTCCAAGTTTCTTAGAAGCTAAAAAGAAAGCAGGAAAGTTAGGAGTTTCATAATTCTTCTGTTTCAATAAAACAAAATTGACCAGTTTATTAGAACTATAACATTATTCCTAGGGTTTGTGGAACTGTGGACAGGCTAAGAACAGTCCCTTAACATTAACCTAACAGAACATGGAGACATGTTGTTCATTTTTCATTATGCAGTCACAGTAGCAAAACACCATGATACATCTTCAGTGGGGAACTAAGCCAATCAGACTCAATCAAGTTAGATTAAAACATAAACATCTGCCCTGGCCAGGCAACCAATTAGTGTGTCAGTCTCACATCAATGTTTCTCTCTCTCTCTCTCTCTCTCTCTCTCTCTCTCTCTCTCTCTCTGTCTCCCCTCCCTTCCACTCTCTCTAAACATCAATGGGAAAAAAATATCCTCAGGTGAGGATTAACAATAACAACAGCAACAACAATCTTAAACATCTAATTATCCTTCCCCAAAACCTATTCCTTCACTTTGATAGCTAGTCTCCAAAAATGTCCTCCCCAATTCCTCCCCTTCCTGCAGACACATGCTGCTCCTCACATAAAGAACTAGAACAACAGTGCGGTGATTTCGGGGGAGGGGAGTGGAGGTGGATGAGGGCATAGAGTAGATATATAGTGATGGAAAAAATAAAGAACCTGGGGCGGGGGGGAACTATGGCTTTTTTTTTCTTTATTGATCAAGGTATTAGATATGTCCTTATCCCCCCCCCATTGCCCCCCCCCAGCCCCCGACTCATTCCCTCACCCTCCTGGTGTCTGTGTCCATTGGTTAAGCTTATATGCATACATACAAGTCCCCCTTACCCCCACCCTCCCCTACCTTCCCTCTGAGGTTTGACGGTCTGATTGATGCTTCTCTGTCTCTGGATCTGTTTTTGTTCATCAGTTTATGTTGTTCATTATATTCCACAAATGAGTGAGATCATTTGATATTTATCTTTCTCTGACTGGCTTATTTCGCTTAGCATAATGCTCTCCAGTTCCATCCATGCTAAAACTATGGCTTTTTGTTCATGCCCTTGAACTCAGACAAGGCCTGTGACTTGCATGGAATTCCAGGCCATGCAAGCCCAGGGTAAGTTTGAAGGAAGTCTGGTAGCTTCCACTTTTGTACTCTTGGAATCCTCAGCTTCCATGTAAAAGGTCTGGCTACGCTGCTGGAGAGTCTGCCACAAGGCCATGTGAGAGGGGGCCGATCTGAGACGACATGAAGATGTGAGGAACGCAGCCAACGATCCAAACACATGCACCCATCCAGCCCTTCCAGCCAGCTTTCAGCCATTCAAGTCAGTTCTGCAGTCAACATATGGGGTTAAAGCATGTGACCCAGGTCAAGAAGCTCTTGTTCAAGATCGAGCTACAACAGACACTTATCCTGAGCGAGGCCTGGTCGCTGCACCTGGGGCTCAGTTTCCCCATTTGAAAAAACACACCACGTGGCTCCATCCCCAGGGGCAGGCCCAGGCAGGAGATCACATCGGAGAGAGCTTTAAAACCTGGAAGTCCCCCAAAAGAGCCAGACAAGTGACTCTTTGCTTCCTTTATTCCCCTCCTCTATCTGTCCATTTAGTTAAGCCACACCAAAGTAAACAGGGCTGCAGGCGCCAGTCCACAATCACAGAACCAGAAACACACGTGAAGAAGTCCTCGCTCATTCCAGCCCCAGTGACACTGCAGGGAGCAGAGACAAGGTTCCCCACTGTGCCCTGTCCAAATTCCTGGCCTGCAGAATCATAAGAAATAATAAAATTGTTGTTCTTTTAAGCCACTCAGTTTGGGGGTAATTGGTTACATAGCAATAAGATAAGCAAAACACAGATGAAAATAGCTTGTTTCCTTGTAGTACAGGGACTTGGAATGATTTCATTTCTCATTAATGGTGCTATAATGTTTTCATGTGTAATAAGTTTTAATGGTACATGGAGGTGGTACAAAGTGCCTCGCCCACGTTGCTTCACACAACTTAGTGGCTGAGTACTGGCCAGGTTACTTCTGGAACACCTTGAGCCTCTTCTAACCCCTCCACTGCCGTTGCTTAGGCCATCGTCCATGCTCACCCTGATTGCCATGTTAGCCCCCCAAATCTCCCTGCCTCTAGTCTCTCTATTCTCTAAACCATGCGCCTCCCACACTTCTGCCAAGTGGCAAAGATCTGATCATGTTCCCATCTTAAAATCCTTTACTAACTCACCATCTTCACCTTTCCCGCGATCAGGTAGTGATGGTATGTGTCCTCTAGCTCCTCTCCCAGCCTGACAATGTCAGTCTATGGACAGGCTCACAAGATTGCATATTATCCAACTCCAAAGGCACTACTCTCACAGGCTACGCTGTGAGCTGGGCCCCTGGGAGCCAGGCAATGCAAGCCCTGCCCATGAGCACAAACACTTTATATTCTTTTCACTTTGTGCCTTTTCCACTCAAATTTTCCTTCATTTCTCTCATATACGTCCTTTGAGCTCTAATTTATATAATTTACCTTATCCTGTCAACCAGTCCATTAAAATGGCCAGGCATTCAAAAATTAAATATTGAACACCTACCATATGCCCGGCTCCTAATTATTCCCAGTAATAAATAAAACAAAAAAGGAAACCGCCTTTAAGAAGTTCTCAGTCCTGACAGTCACTTATTTGTCACATAGAACAAAAGTCAGCAAACTTTTTCTGTAAAGACAAAGAGCAAATAATTTGTTTTTTTTCCAGGCCATACAATCTTTGTCTCAACTATTCCACTCTATCCCTGTAGTGTGAAAGCAGACATTGATCATATGTAAACAATGGGCATGGATTTGATTCAATAAAACTTTATTTATAAAAAACAGGAAGCTTGGTCCACAGTTGGCTGAGCCCTGGTAGACTTTCACTTTGAAGTCTTTTCTGATTAATCCAATTTCCACAATGACGCTTCCTTTGTCATGTGACTGCATCTGCCTTCAATAAATGTTGAGTCTTTCCCCGAAGCAATGGTAGGAGAAGATTTTGGGGAAATGAAAGATTCAAGACTATGGAAAAAAGAATAAACTTACCAGGTATCAGATTTATTACACTGGAGAAGCAGTGCAGCACATTGGTTAAGAGCACAGACTATGAAGACAGATTTCCCAACTCTACCTCTTACTAATTTATATCTCTGGAATAATTACTAGAACTCTGCATTCCTCCATCTCTTCATCTGTTTAATGGGCAAGTAGGTATAATCTCCCTCTTCAAGAAGGTATGTGTTAAATGAATAAACATATGTAAAGTGCAATCATGAGGGATATATCAGAACCTGTTATTCTTTACCATTATTCCTGCAATTTAATGTAAAAATTATATTTTGCAGGCAACCAAGGTAAAAAATGAAAGAATTCAGTAACTCATCATACTGGGTCTTAAGAATTTAAGACACATAGCAGCCTCTCCTGGAAAGAGAAGTCTCTCTTGCAACTTGATTCTGAGAAAAATCTCTCACATGGCACATGAGCGCAAGAGATTCTGAATGACATCATGAGCAATGTCTCTAGCTCAGAACCTTGGGTGATGCAGGAGAGTGCCTGTGATGGTTACCTACCACTCTCAATAAAAGTCAAGGTATAATGTTAAAATATAAGATATGTGCCATCCAAAGACCCCACCAGATCTAACATTCTTTAATTCCTTCTGTTCTATTATGTTATTGCAGAAATGTTAAAGAAATTTTCTTGTTTGACAAAATATTATCATGTTATTAACTATGCCTGAGATCGGGCACAAAGAAATATTAGAAATTTTAAGGGGAATTTTACAATGTTTTAGCCCCACATTTTTGTCCAGTGGAATGAAAAACCAAAAGCAGGACTAAAATAATGAAGAAAAAAATATTAAAAATATGTCTTTAAAACTTAACCGTTGTGTGCTTCAGATCTTATAGCTGCAAAAGGAAGCTAATAAAAGGACTCATTTCATAGAAATGCTGTGGGCATCAAATGAGGTCCCATCTGTAAAACACTGAAAGCAGTGCCTGGTACATAAATGTCATCTAAATGTCACCTGCCACTGCAACAATTGTTCTTATTATTTGTTTTTACTTAATCCTAGATCCCATGTCCTCTACTATCTTTCTGTTGACTCTTGGTTCCTGTAATGCATCTGACTGTGCTCGCAAATATTAAGCCCCTCGGGGCCATGGCTGTATGTCTCTGGCATTCCACGCACCTAAATTCAGGATGGCTTTCAATCAAGGCTTCCTGAGTTAATGAACTCTCTGGACTCCCATCTAACAATAACGTAATGTTAAAGTGCTTATGACTGCTTTCTTGCCTTTGATGATTTTACAACCTAATGGGAAAATCAAGCTTAACACTCTTGAGACATTTAACTCTCATATGCCTGCCATATAACTCAGGCCTGATACATTATTGATTTCAGCTTTCTAAAAACAAAATTATGGGAAAAAGTTCTAAGTTGCTCGAATGGGCCCCATTTATTGGGTTAGTCTCTAGAAACAGAAAAAAATGTTAGTAGAGCTCAAGAAAACATATTTAAAACCTTATTTTCACACTGAAAATTAAGGCTCATATTCCCAAATTATTTAGATTGGTTGCCTGGTTTATTGTAGGATAAAGCAAACAAACTAGTGTGTAAAGAGCCTAATAATTTGTTCAGTATTTTGCTTGCTTAGAGTCACTGGCAAAATACTATAACCTTGTTAAGTATCTGCTACACAAGACAAGAAAGAAACATTTCACTAATCTTTATAATTCCAAATAAATTTGGACAGATATCTGTATTTCTGTTTCCATCAGCCCTAACCCCATCTCAAGGAGACTGGTACATGTTTTAATTAATTTGTAATATCAACAACTTATGCATTTTTGTCAACAACCACTGTCTTAAATGTTATGAAATGAGTCACATAAATAAATATTGTGTCTCCATCTTCTTGTTTAAAATGTGGAATTACTGAAGCCTTCTACTTAAGAATATCTCTTTTAATGGTGCCTCAATATTTTAGCTTAATCTTTTCAATAAATGCAAGGACAAACCATACCACTGCAGGAGTCTTTTAGCCATATTTAATGATTAGCCTATCTGACTTCAGGTGAAGCCTTAAAGTCCTCTTTGTAAAGTAAAATGGGCGTTATAAAGTCTACAGAACTTTTTCTGTGTTCCCTGTTAACGTTCTTTATTTTAATAACAGACTTCTGTGTAATTAATCCCTAGGAGTTTGCCGTCACATAATCTACCCTGTGTATGAACTGTTCCATGTGTATTTTTCTGGGAACAAGACCTCTGGAAAAAATAAACAAATAAACAAAGACCAAAAGGAGTCACGCACAAGGGGACAAATTGTGTGAAACACAACCAGTCTCATACACTCACAAACCAGGCAACAAGGATAAAACTTCTCAATTCATCTTATCAGAGATTTAGGGGCAGGGGTTCCACTCTAAAGATTTCTTTTTCCCCTTTGACAGGAAACTGTAATATTTCCTTATTTGGGAGCTAAAGCAATAAGGCAATCATAAATAAATAGCGCATAACTACTCCTAGTCAAGTAAAGTTGTGCATTTGGTGGTTTTTTTTTTTATTGGATTGTCCCCCACACTTTTTGCCTAATCACACAAGTTAAGAATTTGGCTGAGAAAAAAATGTGATGGACTGAAATTTCAACAACAAAGCTAGAATTTTATTATTTCTCATAAACTCATTTCACACAAATTAACAATGGCCAAACAAAAGAAAACTACTATACACTTATTATTTGAAAACACTTTTGAAACTTGCAAAATTCTCATTTCAAAATCGAGAAAAATGTAATTTTTGCAGAGTAAATGCAGACCACACTCACTCCATTTAAAAATATTCCTGTAAAGACAGAAATTGGCGATTTACTCTAAGAAAACACAGCAAAAACTGGGAAGGAACTTGAGGATGCTTAAATTTCCACTGTGGAACAACTTCTGCTGCCCAGTGGGAAGAAAAAAAAAACACCTGCAACAGGATGGGAGGAGAAGAAGACAAGCTAAGACTATACACCCAGATGGTAAAGCTAGGCAGTCCCTAGCCTGTGAAGTGAGGCAGCTGACAGGATACGAATACATATACGTACCAAGAACATGAAGGCGAATCCTGTAGCCACCTGTCACCTCAGGGAAAGACAAGAAGGCAGTGTTTGTAAGAGAGATTAGGCCAGCGCACACCGACACTGATGAGCTTAAAGTGCCTTTTAACTAGAGGAAATATTAGCGAGGTGCTGAAAGTTGCTGCCACCAACTGGGCATCAGGCAGACTCAGGGGTTACAAATCACTTTCACTTCATAAATGGTGCATTTCCATTAAAATGGTAAACAGGTTTTACTTTAGTCAAAGAGGTTAGTTTTAAAGCTGGTACTATTTTAACTAGCAAAAATAGAATTTTAAGCAATAACTGGAAAAATGTAACACACAACTGCTTTCCCTGATGACTTATGCAGCAGGGCATGGTTCAAAGACTTATTCATGGGAGACTGTAATAGCAGTGAGCAGAGAGAATACATTTAAATGCTATTCAAATTTAACATCAGAACTGGCATTTGTTTAAAATGAATCGGAAAACTTTTGACCCAGCAATTCTATTTTTATTCATTTACACCACATATAAATTTGCACACGTACACACGTAGGTATGTAGAAGAATGTTGGTAATTGCACACAAAAATGATATAGTCTAAAGAGCTATCATTAGGGAACTGTACCAGCCACATTATGGAATTCTATATGCCAAGAGAATGCATGAGGTAGATCCATATAAGTTTATAGATGGATGCACTAACATATGAAAGTGAGCAAGGTTCAATACAGTATGTACATGAATTAAAAAGAACACATACCAATGGGGGGAAAGGGAGACATATTGTAATACTTCCAACAATAAAGAACTTTTTTAAAAAAAAAAAAAGGACACACCTATATGTGTGTATATATACATATATATTCATGTGTACATGTATTTGTATATGTATATGTATATGCCTATAATTTTTTTAAATGCCCAAGAAAATGGTCTCTGAGTACTAAGTAAAACAATACTTTTAACTGTATATCTTTTTAAATTATCATTTTTACCTCCCCAAATAGATAACATGAGAATAACAATAAAACCCCTTATATTATAAAGGTTCATTATTATATTATATCATATCATACAAACATATAATATTTATACTATAAAGGTTAATTTTAATTATTTTTAAAACATGTCTATATGTAAAATCTTAAAGGTAACATGAGAATTAGGAATAGCCATAATTGCTGTTCTATTTAATATCATGTTTATAGGAAGGCTTTATAAATAGTTTGCACTACGGTAACATCTGTGTTAGGGAGCAAATCCTACGAGGAACAGAGAGGGTTGTCTCTCTCTAGTCATAAACACGTAAAACCCAACAGAAGGAAGCGCTGGTGTGAGGGAAAGTGTGGACATCCTGTGAAGCAGCAGAGCTTAGTTTCTGTTTCCACACGGAGTAGTTTCTGTTTCCACACTGAGTCTGTGCCTCCCCAGGAAACACCCTGGTTGGTGACAGCACATAGAGATGAGACAAATGTCTGTCTGGCCGGGCCTAATGTCTTCCTGCAGACTTTCATCCACAGAATTAAACCCCACTTCCTCTCTCTCTCTCTCTCTCTCTCTCTCTCTCGGAACCATGGCATCAAGCTTAGATATCAAGGTAAGATTACATAGCAGAAATATTTTTGAAGGAAAAATGCTGGAAAAATTAGGTCGTTTTGAGAACATATGAAAAGTCAGAGTTTCGGTCCATCTATTGAACTTGCAATGGGCCTCACACACAGAGCAATCAGTGCCTGCTGCCTGATGAGGATCCGGCTTCACCTGGTAGGCAAACTGTCTTTCCAGCACTGGCGGAATCCCACACAGACCAAGACGGAACTAAATTAATCGTAACTATTTCCTGGGGTCGGGAAACCACACATGTTTTACCACAGTCTAAGTGCGTGGCTCTGACAGTCATCGTGTCCCCAGTCCAGATCAGGATTCAAAAACCCATCTGTCAGTTTAGTGCACTTTTTATTCCCTACCTGGGCCACACAAACACAAATGTCACTACAGATATAATTAAAACAGCCCATAACAAGAAATAATAAGTGAACTGTTCAGCCACATATCCCAGAGACAACATCACTTGGTCACTCAGGGCCCTATAATCAAGCTACAGAACTATTCAAAAAAAAGAGCAACAATGAGAATCATAAGCACTTCATGGAAAGCCTCTGAGTATTTCCCGTCTGGGTTCACTTAATAGGCTCCTCCCAGGAGATAAAATGGGTCATTTACAGTCCATCCTGCTGCTCCTATGGAGGCTTGAAGTTAACCGCAGAAAGGAATTTCTTTCTCAATCTGAACAATTTTAAAAGAAGTGTATTCCCTATACAGTCGAGCTGCCTAATTTAAATAGTTCCTGCTGAAACAGTTTCTGTAACAGGGGCATAGGAAGCTGGTGAAGTGCCCAGCTGCATGCACCCAACACATACACCACTGGTTTAAAACACCCTTTAAGGCTGGGCCACAGCAGCGTTAGTGCCCCGGTGAAATGAGAACTCCTTACAACCCAGAAACAAGCTCTCAGAAACTCTTGCCCTGCTGTGCTTCCAGCGTAGACCTCTGAAGAGCACTGCTACTCAGAAAACTCACTCCCTAATTTTAATAGCACGACTTAGAGGACGCTGACCACTCATTGTGTGTCTTCTCCTCCTGTCCCTGGAATCCCTCCCTGCCCGTGCTCCCTTACAAATGGAGCATCTGCAAAGATGCCCACAGGAAAGTACTTTCCCCTAAACCCAAGCGGATTGGTATGAAGGGAAAGGAATGGACTTCTCTACTCTCAGTCGCAGCTCCTCCCCTTCTTCCTCAAAGAACCCTTCTGGCCTCCCAAAATCGGCCTCGACAATGGCCCAGGATTCCTTTTAACCATGACCTCGCCTCTGGGGCAGGAATCCTTGGAGTGGTTTATCCTCGAATGCGTAGAGGACCGGGTAACCCTTGCACTTCTAAGGTGCCCCCAGGAGGTCTTGTGAGGGACACTTCCCCGGTCGGGAGTCCATCCCCTCAGTTTCTCTGGAGGAGAGGGAGGGGAGACCCACCCCGGAGGAGCTGCCCCGTTGCCTTACCCTTTCAGCGCGTCGTGTCCGCCGCCGCCTCTTCTCTTGGCCCGGCTGGCTCGGGTTTCCTTCGCGTTCCCAGCTGCCACATTGGTGTCCGCCCCGTGGCTCGTGTAGGACGCTAAGAGCACGGTAAATCCCAGGGCGACCTCCAGCAGCCCCCCTCGCCGCATGGTGTCGAGCGGCCGCCGGCTCCCGCCGCCTCTCGCCGCGCCCGGGGCTGCTCCGCGGCCGCCGCTGCGCCCTCACGCGCGCCGCGCCGCCGGGGTCCCGCTCTCCCGCCGCCCGTCCGCGGGGCCGGGCTCCTCCCGCCTTCTCCAGGCGCTGCTCCCACTTCGGGCGGCCCGTGCCAGCTGCAACAGACAAATCGCCCGGGCGGGGAGTCATTCAGGGCATCGGGATGCTGCAGCTTCGCGGTCCCCATTCCCCAGCCCAGCCCGCGCGCCGCCTGCGCGTGGCGCACTTATTTTGGGTAAGTGAGGACCGTTTGGTCCACAGCTGGCTGAAAAGCCCAGGCCCCCGGCAGGAGTGGCTCCGGCCAACCCCACGGCCTCCCGGGCGCCGCCTGGAAAGCGCGCCGCAAAGTACCCAGGTCCGGAGAGGTCCCTGCGCCCGGGGGCCAGTTCGCTGGGTTTCTTTTTTCATGGCACGGATTGCGCGCGTCGCGCGCTCGGAACGCCCAGCTCCCCAGCCTGTCCCCTCCGCCAAGCCGCGGGGCTAGAAGCCCGCCGCGCCGTCCGAGGCCGGCTGCGGGCGCTGCCACCGCCCCCCGAGCATCTGACTCGGAGCCGGGCACCGGGAGACCCGGGCCGGGAAGCTGTCAGGCAGAAGGGGGCCAGCACCAGCTGTGGACGTCCTGGGACAGCCCCTCACCCCCATCCCCGTCCTCGCCGCGGCGCCAACGCAAAAGCCTCGGTGGCTGGAGCTCCAGCCCCGGTGGCCGCCCCTCCAGCCCCGGTAGCCGCCCGACCCCTGCCGGGACCCCGGCTGCACCCACTGGGAAAACGGCGGCTCCGGCTCCCGAGGAGGCGGCGGCTGTCCCTCGGTCCTGGCCGCAGCAGCCGCTGCCCCGCTCCGCCCGCAGCTGTTCCAGCTGTGGCCGCCTGTCCGCCCGTGGCACCCACAGTCTCTGCCGCGGCTCCCGCGCCCCCTCCTTTCCCCACCTCTTCAAGTATCGTCTGCGCAGCGGTTTCTCGCGAGAGAAATACTTTTTTTAAAAAAAGAAAGAAAAAGAAAATGACACCCCCTCCTACATCCCCCTCATCACCACCCCACCCCTCGGCCCCATCCATCCTCCCTTTCCACTCCCCTTTGCCAGCCACCGCCTCGGCGCAGGGGCCTCCCTCGCTCGCGGGATTAGTGCAGTGAGAGGAGGCTGAGGTGATCGGGTCCTGCCCGGCCTGGGATTGTTCGTTTAAGGCTGAGAAGTTGAAGGAATGGGAAGAAGTGGAGCAGCGGTGGAGCCCGCTCTGCGGCTGTGAGGTCAAGACCCAAGATGAGTCTCTCTCGTGATCTGGGAACCCCGGCCCGCGCGGAGAGCTGTGCCACCTGCACCAAGAACGCGCGCTGGAGACAGCGGCCCTGGAGGCCTAGGCGGCCCCGGCGCGAGATGAGACCTGTCCTCGCTGCCTGTGCCTCTTTACAGCGCCTCTTGGGCAGGGAACGGAGCCGGAGCGGCGCCTGCGCTGAGGCCAGGAGCCCGAAGGGTCGTGGGCCTTGGCAGGGACTGATGTGCAGGCGGGGGTCGGGGAGGGGGGCCCAGGCACAGCTCTTCTGAGGCTTGGTTCAAGCCAGCCAGGCTGGATTCAGGATACTCCAGTAGCCTCAGTGTGATTCTGCCCCATAGGCCTGTGCATGTTGAAACCTGGGATTTGGGGTAGGGGCTGTGATGAGATGGTCCTCTTGCCCAGCCCAAAGCTAAGACTGGGCTTCTCCTGGATGACCCTATTTCACCTGCCCCAAACCGCGAGAGCACACACACACACACACACACACACACACACACACTCAGCTGCCTGTCCAGGACAAGCAAAGCACTGTGACTTTGGAGAATATAGTATTTATGGCAATGGCATCTTTATATGTTTAAGGCCCGGTGTTCTCTGCACCCTATAACGATTTAGGAGGTCAGGACATCGCACCCTGGGCCTTGGCCGCTGGAACTGGAGACCCCCAGAAAATCCCCATATATCAGCCGCCACCAGCTGCCAAGCCAGAAATCACAGCTCAGCACAAACAGGAAGCCTGTTGAAGGGGTTTTTTCCTCATTTGCAATAGTTTGTGCCTAGATAATAGGGTATAGGCACCTGGGCAAGTTATTTAACATTTTTCCAATTGCAAGATGGGAATAATAATAATAATAATGTTGACCACACAGGTTGTAATGGTGATGATGAATGAGCCTGCTGATCTGTTGTGACACATGAAGGTGGAGAAGAAACCAAATTGCAAATCCATGAGCCCATTTCAAACCATAGTTCTATAAGTACATGGGGTCTAGTTTAAGGTTTAAAATGCTCTTAGCAGAGTCATAAATTGGAGCCTTGATCACACACCCTTGGCTGAGTCAAGGCTGATCATTCATTCAAGAAGTTATTTGCTGAGCACTGTGTAGCAGTTGGTGCATGGTTGAAACAAGCTCCTTGCAGAGCAAGGCAGAATGTTTCTCTCCAGGCAGTCTACTTGAAATAAATAATGGCCCAATTGTTAAATGCCAAGAGGGAGAAGTACTGGGCGTTTGCTTGGAGGACATA